TCACGATTCCTGCCCATCAGATCTGCTTGCACATCATGGGTCCATACTAGTCGTTTTCAAACCTCCACTGCCTTGTGGCTATATCCACTCATGGAAAAGGCTTCAGGAGTTAACCTCGAGGCAAAATCCGGAGCTGGAGTCCCGAAGGCAGCTCGTGTCGTTCTGCCAACTCCTGCGACGTTGCTGGAACCAGCTGTATTGGCTCTTGCCTTTCCAATGGACCATTTCAGCAATGTGGAGGGGGGGATCTGCTGCTTGGGTAACAGCCTATCCTCCATATTACCTTACCCGGGCTTCATGCTCTGGAGAGGACACTCCTCGATTCAGAGCATGTTACCATAGTCTCTCGAGACTGAAGGATGCCTATGATACTATGGTTTGGGATTACCTAGGACAGTAATTCCCAACCTTGGGTAACCCAGGTGTTCTTGGACTGCAACTCCCAGAAACCCCAGCTGGCACAGCTAATGGTGAACCACTGATCTAATGGCAAGGATATTAAGAACTAATTATATCATGCAATGTGTGAATAGGCCATATATGATCAGTATTGCGAAGGGAATCCTGATCAGATATGAAATTCCCTCCTGCAGATCATGCTACTGAGCATACAAAGGTCTTGAGAGGGATTTTTAAGCTTTGTCCCCTCTGTGGGACAGGTCAGTTAATATCTTCTGTTGCCATACTAGTTATACCTTCTTGGCCAAGCAATATGGAAGATGTATGAGGCAGATTATATGGGGTGAATTTGTCATTCAAGTTGTTTAGGTGTCTTGACCAAACATTTCTGGTTCTCTGAAGTGTGGATATTTTCCTTTAATGTTACACGTTGTGCAAGCTAATGCAGTGTACCTCTATTGCTCTGGTAGTGTCAGAAATTGGGGATGAGCCCATGACAGATCGGCTTCTTAAGCTAGTGTTTTCCTCTTATCCCTGGAAACTAGATCAGGTCTTTTTGGAATGGCCACACCATGAGTACATTCATCTAATCTCAGGTCCAGGCTGCATGTGATATTTAAACTCATGAGCCTGCACTGTGAGTTTCTCCCTCTCTTTGAAAGAGTTAAACTTTTATGTAGAGATATGAGAGATGAACCCCTGATGAAGATGCCTGATCAGCTGCTTCCTGGGAGAGCAGAGAAGCTCCCATTGCTACTATTCCAAATAGCATCAGGGTGTTATTTTTTCCTTGGGACAGCAGCACTGGAGTAAAACAGTGCTAAAACTGTTTAACCTCACACTTAGTTTGGCCCTCAGATTTCTCAAACATGCTGTCATCGGTCAAATGTCATGTGGAGCAGCCAGTCAACTCGTCCTGGACTTCAATGACAATTGAAAGATCATTTTAAAAGAGGCCACTTTTATTTTTTCCCTTTAATATTTCTTTTTGGCCCTCAGATTTCTCAAACATGCTGTCGTCCGTCAAGTGTCATGTGGTGCTCCCCACCACCATCAGGATCTTCTGGAGCTCTCTTCTCATTGTCCTCATTTCCAGAATTACATTGGTCCTTGGGTTGGGACTTTACCTTTTCCTCTTACTGTATTAACACAAATTCAATAAATCTACCCCGCCACTTTTAATTATTAATAAGGAAAAAGCAACTAAATGCTGTCGCCTTGGAATATGAGCCAATCCCTCAAAATGCTTACTTGCCTTAATACTGTAAGATATGAATCAAGTGTACTGTATACAATCCTAATGTCTGGTGCTGCCTTTTATTTTGTACTTAATGAACAAATGGGGAGTATAAATGATATAGGATTGTAGAAAACTAGGGCTGGAAGAGACTTCAAGGGTAATCAAATCTGGTCTACTGTCAAATGAGGAAATCCATATCCAAAGGATTCTTGACAGGTGATTGTGATGTTTACCCATTTGGCCCCTGCTTGTTATTCCCTCACAAAGGCGCACATCGTATTTCCTTCTTGCTGCCACCACTGGATTACTTCAATCCACAATATAAATGAACAGAAAGAGAACTTCTTTCCTGTGAACAGAAAGAGAACTTCTTTATTGAAGTGAAGCAGAATGAGTAATAACAGAAGTTTTTCAGATATTCAGTATACATAAACAGTCCATCAACAGTTTTCTCAGTACATAGTTCTTTTTGCTTGCAATATCATTACCACCATCTCTACCTATTTTCCTAACCAGCTTTATCTCTCTGACTAACTCTAACTATCTGACTTACCAGCCCTATCTGACTCCTTCTCCCGCCAAGCCTCATGTAGCTGCTGACTCTACCTCTCCAGCCCTCTCATAGGTTTATGCAAATCAGCTCATGAATATGAATGACATGAGTGACATGGGTGGTCGCCACATTCCTCCCCCTTAAGAAAAAGTTTGTTTCATGAGGGAAAACCTTACAACGGAACATACATACAATGGAACATACATACAAAAACACTTGCCATCATAATAATATGCTTACCTGTTATGTCCTAATCATATACCATATTTCAACATATAACACATTATATTACCATATACAGTACTTCTACGTACCTTATATAACAGTTTTCTCTCTCTTACTATGTTTACTAGACGAAACCTATTACTTTAAACTTTTAAAATAATCCATACAATTACTGTATAAACATTTGCATTACTCACATTAAGACAAATTACATTACCTCTACATTAATAACACTACTCACTATTATGTTTACCATCATTATACACCTCTCAGTTCACCAACAGTACCATCATTATACACCTCTCAGTTAATCAACATCCAAACAAACTTTGCACTTTAATCATATTTCATAACTCTTGCATAACCAGAACATTTAATACACCTTCACAAACTCGTTTTATCCACCCATTAGTCATTTGCCCTTCGAGACAAGGCTTCAGCATCCACACTCTGAGTCCCTTTTAACTGCAGATCATAAAGTCAAAGTCTTGCAGGTTCAGTGTCCATCTTGCAAGTTTACTGTTGTTGGAATTCATAGTCTGTAGACACACTAAAGGGAAATGGTCAGTGCAAAGGATGAACTTCCTTCCCCAAATGTAGGGCTTTAGTTTTTGCAGTGTCCAGACAATGGATAGGCATGCCCTCTCAATGGCAGACAAATGTCTCTCACCAGATTGGAGTTTCCTACTGATCAGAGTCAAAGTGTGTAGATTCCTGCTGTCATCCACTTGGCTCCCAGACCCATGCTCAACACATTGGTGTACATGACGAGCTCCCAGTTGAAGTCTGGCCCAACAAGGACAAGTCCCAAAGTCCATGCTCCCTTCTGACAATTGAAAGTCACCTGGCCCTCTGACGTCCACTGGATGTCTTCGGCTCACCTCTTCTGGGTTAAGCCTGTTCTTTTTCTGAATAGTGGCTTAGTTTTCTCAGCTGTGGGAAGGTTAGGCAGTTTCTTCCACTCCTCCAGCACAGCTGTGACTGCCTACTTCCTTTATTGTCCTCTTCTCCAGAACTGCATTGATTCCTGATTCGGAACTTTCCCTTTTCCTCTTGTTAGCACATATACAAGAAATCTGCCCCATATATCATAAAAGTTATTATATTTTATCTCTCCTCTCTTAACCTTTAAGTTACAAGTTAACTTATCATTTATAGAAATATTCCATATTTCATTATAGCATTGTTCCATTTGAAATTCGGACTTTGATTTCCAATTCCTAGCTATTATTAATTAGCTGCTGGTGAAAAACTGTGACCAACTCTCTAATCATATCATAATCCACATTTTCAAATATTGATAACAAAGCTATCTCAGGATTAAATTCTATATCTTTTTCACATATATCCTTTAATTCTTTAAAGATTAGTTTCCATTTCATTTGTTATGGCTGAGTTCTTCAGTCTATTAAGATCCTCATGAATCCTGATTTTATATTCTGAAACTTTAGCTACCCTTCCCAGTTTAGTGCTATCTGCGAATGTAATGAGCTCCTCCTCTAGTCCCTCATTCAAGTTATTTATGAAAATGTTGGATGGCACTGGGCATGAGTATCACCTCAGGATAATTATAGTAATGTCTCAGTTTTTGGCAATAGAAATTGCAGGGGTGGTTCAGATTGGGACCATGGGGGTGGCAGTGACAGAGGGATAAACCCCTGCCCACCTCCATTCTACTCTTGATCCAGATTTCCTGGGGGGATATTAGAGTTAAAGAAAGACAGAGCTACTGTTTTTATGGTTTAGCTTAGCTCTCACTTAGGCATGGTAACTTTAAAAGCAAATATTTTATGAAATAGTCATGAAATTGCTGTTCCACCACAATCACTTTCTTATCAAACATTTATTTGCTCATGTGATCAGACTGTTTATGTGAGCTGTTTTTGGAGGTTTCCTTGCTGATCTGTTTTCACAAGCTCTAACCTGCTCTGACATCTTTAGAGAATGAGAAGAACTATGGCAAAAAGAAAGAAAGAAAGAAAGAAAGAAAGAAAGAAAGAAAGAAAGAAAGAAAGAAAGAAAGAAAGAAAGAAAGAAAGCCAGCCCTTTTTGGGTACTTTGTTCTTTCTATGACTTACACCTCAGAATGTGAGAGCTAGCTTGTAGTCAGCTGCTGGCTGGCTTACTTTGTGCTATTCTGAGGATAGATAGCCTTTTATACAAACCACTTGCAAGGATTCAGCCATTGGCTTTTTGTTGTAATGACTTTAGGTCAGTGAAGCATCTGCAGGGGGATAAATGTTTCAGCAGATGATTACTGATTAGAAGTGTCTGAATTGCCCACCCCCCATATCACACAAGGTGAGAAACCTAGAAGTGCTTTAGGATTGATTGCTTTCAGGATAAGTAATAGCAGTGCTTCTTTTGAGGAGTCAGCTGGTCGTTAGCAGTCCTGCCTCACATGCTTCTGTTTTTCTTTTTTAGGGAGGCAGATACATCCGCATCAAATAAATAAGTTTGTTATTATATGAATTCGACCTCGAGTTGTGCTTACTTGAAAACTTGCCTGAACATCATAGCTATGAGAAAGTGATTTCTGATTCCATTTGCTTATCCCTATGCAAATATCTTTTGATCTTTCAGGAGCACACCTCCTTATGTGGCCCAAGAAAGGTACCACAATGGATTCAGCATGCTAACATCCTTGTACTGTTGATTAAAGAGGCTGTAGGAAAAAGGGAGGAAAACCATAGAGGAAAATAATTAAGGTTGGTTTGTTTTCTTAAAGTTCAAAGATGTAGAGATGAGAGACTTTGCATAAAAGTTACAGTGTTTTACAAACAAGCAAGCCACTCAAAGATATATTGGGTGACTCAGTTGTATTTCTTAGCTGCAAATGTGTTGTTACCTATTCATGTTTCATAAAGTTGCTGGCCCTAAATCTTTCTGATGTTGTCCAAAGGATCAGGGTAATAAGCCATTCATATAACATCTCATGCAGGCATGTTACATTACTTTGTGAGAAGAATTTTAATGAAGCTTTGGATTTCTCAAATTCTAGTCCAGCACTCTGACTTCTACACCACACCAGGTTACGTCTCCTGTCCGTTGCCTCCTTTCTTGCTGGTCTAATAGGTCTGAAGAGTAAGCAGTTTGTGACAAAAATTAGATTAAGTGGCAATAATTAGAGACTAAAACCCAGTGAATTTTCATTGATGTTTTGAGGAATATAAAGTTCTTGCAATTGCTTTATCATGAAATAATTGTAACAAACATTCTTGGTTGGGAAAAGTAATGAAGTCACCAAATTCTGTTGTTATTTAATTCTTATTAGGGTTCCAGGCATTTTATACCAGTAGGCGAACATGAACATTAGTCTAATTAAAAGCATTCCAAGGTAGTTAATCTGAAAGTACCATCTGTTGCCATTGTATAAAAAAAGCAGTTGACTGGTGAAGCATTGGAAAGCATATGATTCTTGATTAAAAGTGATTAAATGTGATTGTTGCTTCAGAAAACCTGTGTTGCAAAGTTTTGGGTATCTTCAGAACCTGTAGCCAGTACTGCAGGCAGTTCAATACCTCTGTCATTGTATTATATTCTAATATGGTGGAATTGACGCTAATAGTTTAAAGCACTTAATGTAACCCTTAGTCAAGTCAAGGATGTTTCGCTTCAGATTATTTTTTTAAATGATCACAGCATTCCATGGAGAATATTATCCAAAGTTATTAATCCAGTGATCTTGTTCTATGAATAATAAAAGGTCTGGCCTTACTCTGGTTCCCTGTTTTGTTTTAGTGTCATCTGACTTCATCTGTTCCACTGGTATGGCCCAGGCAATAAAATAATAAAATGGATGAACTAGGAATACAAAATACATTATAAACGTATATAAATTACACTTGTACGCTTTGATCCTTTAATTTAAAACAAAACTGTTATTCTACTCTTGGCTCACCCAGGACTTGGGATAGAATAATTGCAGTACTAACTAGGTTAATCTATTAATTTTTAACCCAGTGAGTGCCAAATAAAATTAACATGGAGGCTTGACTTCAGTTGTCTGTAATTGATTAACGTTTACTCACAATATTACTAGTTTTCAAAAATAGTTTTAATTCATCTGCTTTGTTGGGGGCATAACCAGTAGATAACACATAGTAAGGCTAGGAGAACAAGGGGAGCTGATTGTACCAGTAGCAGCAGCTGGGGAGGGGGCTTGGGGGAGATTATATGGCTTTAGATTCCCTAGCTGCAATGTGAAACTAGCACTGAAGCACAGAAGTAACAAGAAACAGAGGAAAGTCTACATAGAGCATGAAATGTTATGCTTTGGAGCTGCCTTTACAGAGATGACAAGAAGAGGTTGGAGGAGCTCAGGACTTTGTAAGTCAGGAAAATTATGGTAGTGGGATTTGAAGTAGTGGTCTGATTTGTTCTTCGTTAACATTCACTGTTTTAGCTCTTATACCAGAATCGTTGGTGATTTCCACAACTGAAGTAGTGATCTTCTTAGTCATCCCATCAATTCTCTGGACAATGAAACCACAAAGGACTCTTTCCTAGTTCTGAGGAGTATGAAATGTGTCCTCTAATGGGGTTTGTTTGGCTTAATCTTATCAAGCTTCATTGTTTCTGGGTGCATCATTAGTTGTTTTTATGTGCCCTCAAATTGGAACCGGTTTATACTGACCCTAACAGGGCTTTCAAGGTAAGTGGGATATTTAAGGTGTGGTTTTACCAATTCTTTTCCCCCAGTGAGTTTCCATGGCTGTGCGGGAATTCCAACCCAGGTCTCCTGAGTCCTAATCTGTTACTCTGCTACACCACAATGGGTATCACATCCTTAGTTATCTAGTATGAGTACTACTGGGAGATAAGAATCTGAAATGCTGTACTTCTCATGTGTTTACTGAACAATTGTTATGTTCCACTTACATTTCTGTGTTACACAGGCGTAAGAATTTACCCTTTAGATACAATTTTCAATTAAAAGGTGCTACAATAGTTATCTGGTAGCATTATTTAAGAATGAGGAGATGCGATGATTGTAAATATCATGTGATTCAGTCATGCAAATACCATCTAAAAATATGAAGACTTTGCAGAAAACTCTGTGTGTCTACAAGTTCATTCATTTCTCATTTATAATTGTCATAAAAATATAGTCAAGTTCAAATAGTTTCTTTCTATGTATTCTCGAGGGCTTTCACGGCCAGGATCCGATGGTTGTGGGTTTTTCGGGCTGTTTGGCCATGTTCTTAAGGTTTTTCTTCCTCTGAAGCACAGACAGAGTTCTGACTCCTGTCTTCTGAAGATGCCGGCCTCAGAGACTGGTGAAACGTTAGGAAGAAAAACCTTAAGAACACAGCTTAACAGCCCGGGAAACCCACAACAACCATCAGTTTCTTTCTACTATCAATTTGTCTTCCACATTTTATAACATGATAACGTAATATATGCTAAAACAGTAAAACACTTGAAGTGACAGTGTGCCTCCCTCTTTTAACTCAATATCTCACCATATTGGTAACTGAGAAATTTTAGTATGATTTCTTGGTGGAATTGTGTTAATGATGGCATTGAAATTAACACGGCCCACTGTCCAGCTGTAACAATTTTGTTTTACTCATATTATTTACCTCATTCATTGGCTTTAAGAAAGTCTTTGCTAACTTTACTGAGTTGAATTTTGGTTTAATAACTTTCACAATTAACTGTTCCAAATCTGTTTTGATTTGGAGAACAAGCTTACAGTTTCTGTGGAGGTGCCTGTTTGCTATCATAATAACATTTCTGATTAAAAGCAGACATTGGTAATGCACCAATATAATTTCATTTAAAAGTTATGTTTGAAAGAAGTAATTTTAGCAAGTTTTTAGAACAGATGGAAGATTCTTTTAATCATGAAACATGAACTCAAATTTGGTACATCTAAGAGCAAAATTTGTAAATGTTTCCATAGCTGAGGTCCACCCAATGAAAAGGAAAACAGGATGTGGCTACAGAATTAAGGGAAAAATTCTCAGCAAAATAATTGTAATAATGTATATTACTACTTCTTAAGCTTATTTTTTGCCTTGAAGACAGGCAATTGGAGGATTAAAGCAGTTGCGAAGACTCAATTTTAGATTTTGACAAAGTGCCCCATGATACTGTGATTAGCTTGCTAACTATGTGTGGGCTGGATAGAACTACTGTCAGGTAGATACACAGTTGGTTGCAGAATTGTATTGCAAGAGTACTTATCAATAGCTCCTTTTTAAACTGGGAGGAGGTAACAAAATAGAGTACCACAAGGCTCAGTCCTGGGCCTGATGTTCTTCAACAATTTTATTAATGACTTGAATCAAGATGTGCAAGGAATGCTTACTAAATTTGTGGATGACACTACATTGTGTGGAATAGCTAATACCCTGGAAGACAGGAACAACATGCAAAGGGATCTTGATAGGCTTGAGCACTGGGCTGAAAACAGCAGAAGGTGGATACTTGGCACAGTAATACTATGAGCAAGAAGGATCTTGCATTTTTGTAGATCACAAGCTGAATATGAGCCAAGAGTGTGGTGTGTATGCAGAAAAGGCAAATGCTGTTTAAGGCTGCTTTTGTAGTTACATCTGCAAAATGTATGTGTATTTGCAGAAAACATTTGTATTTCTGCACTCTCTTCCTTCTGTCTTGCTTCTAACATGCAAATCTGTAATAGCAAGAGACTTTTATAAGCTATAAAACTGGCAAATATCTCTCTTTGTTTTGATGAAAATTTTATACTGACCTTTATTACATCTGTAAGACACCCTGTAATGAGTTCAATTGATGGACATTTCTTTCTGTAATGTTGCCATCCTTGTGATAAACCAATTCTGGTGCTTTTCATTTCTAGCAGGAACAAGTTCATTGTAAAAATAATGGGTCTTAATTGCCAGGTCAAGAGCAGCCAGTCCAAAATATTTTTGTTGCATCAGAGACATCTCACAACAAAATGTTTTTGCTTGGATAATCCACTGCATCTTTCTCTCTAGAGGAACTATGAGAATTGCTGCTAAGTACAGAAGAAACCACAGCAAACTATGGCAAGTCTTTAAAGAAATGGGCATGCCTGACCACCTTATCCATCTCCTGAGAAACCTATATGTGGGACAGGAAGCAACAGTTAGAACTGGATATGGAACAACTGATTGGTTCAAAATTGGGAAAGGAGTACGACAAGGCTGTATATTGTCTCCCAGCTTACTTAACTTATATGCAGAATACATCATGCGAAAGGCCAGACTGGAGGAATCCCAAGCTGGAATCAAGATTGCCGGAAGAAATATCAACAACCTCCGATATGCAGATGATAGCACTCTGATGGCAGAAAGTGAGGAGGAACTAAAGAACCTTGTAATGAGGGTGAAAGAGGAGAGTGCAAAAAACGGTCTGAAACTCAACATCAAAAAAACTAAGAGCATGGCCACTGGCCCCATCACATCCTGGCGAATAGAAGGAGAAGATATGGAGGCAGTGACAGATTTTACCTTCTTGGGCTCCATAATCACTACAGATAGAGACAGCAGTCACGAAATTAAAAGACGCCTTCTTCTTGGGAGGTAAGCAATGACAAACCTTGACAGCATCTTAAAAAGCAGAGACATCACATTGCCAACAAAAGTCCGAATAGTCAAAGCTATGGTTTTTCCTGTAGTGATGTATGGAAGTGAGAGCTGGACCATAAAGAAAGCTGACCACCGAAGAATTGATGCCTTTGAATTGTGGTGCTGGA